CAAACTGAACAATCATACACTTTTTCGAAAAAAAAAAGACACCGAACTACAGAATAAACATGATTATTTAATCATGTAATTGTTCGCCCTTTCAGTGATTCATGCTTTACTTGGTAGTTCGATTTCAGTTTGTTTATTGTTGGCATTTAGGTTCGCACGGCAATATTTCCAAAGGCAAATTTCACGTTTCCACTTAGCGAAAGTCATCAAGAATTAAACGAAAAACTCTCCAAACGCCAATCTTTTACTAATTTAATTTTAAGTTTAGAGCCATTTACATTTGACTGAAGTTCACTCAACTGCATTAATGCACAACGCCAAAACTAAAATTAATGACAGAATTAATTTTGTTTTTCTAAAAATATTGACTAAATAAAAAACCGCGAAGAAATCACTTAAAAAATAAATTGCTCAATTTCCAAACGATGATAGAAAATAAAAACCAACGAAATGGCAGCTTGAAATTTCAGAAATGGCAAATTCTAGAACTATTCCGCCCCAAGCGTAATTCAAGGTGTGGCGCAGTGAGGCGCGATAAGTCACTAACTCACATTACAGGATAAACTCAAAAGCGCAATTCAACACAGTGTTGTTTGCCTACAAAATAGGCCTAACTCAGTTAACTTTGAAGAGCTGGCGCAGTGCTATGCAAATGTCTACATGCGCCAATTCAACGAACCAGCGCAGTAACTCAGTTCCTTTGCTCTGGGAGAACGTTACTGAAATTAAGTTGAAAGTAGCAGGTGTGGGACAATGATGAAAACATCACTATTTATTTATTTGCCGACGTTTCGACCTTTATTAGGGTCTTCTTCAAGGCTGAAATTATGTGTGAACGTTCTGTTAAAGTAGATTCATTATAGTGAAAGCATCTTCATGGCAAAGCAGTAGTTACTTTTAAAAAATTCGTAATCCGTAAAATCGAGTCCGTCGTTAAGTGCACCGCAGACTGAGATTATGCATAATTACGATTTAAAAAAAAATAACTACTGCTTTGCCATGAAGATGCATTCACTATAATGAATCTACATAGGCAGAACGTTCACACATAATTTGAGTCTTGAAGAAGTATTAAAATAATTAAATAGTGCCGTTTTTATCATTGTCCCGCATCTGCTACTTTCAACTTCATTTTCCAATTGGCACAGAACAAAAACGAACAAAATTGTTACTTAAATTATGAGTTAAAAAATGAGGTAAACTTTTTTTTTAGTTGTTTGGACAAAGTGGTAAAACATGTAAACACTTGGATGACCTATTTTTTAGATATTAAAATTCTAGTCTCTGGTCTCTTAAAGCCTTAATCAACTTTGATAAATAAGTTATAACTCATCGGCTAATGAATTACAACTCATCAACCGCTCAAAACCGCAACTCAACACAGTGTTACCCAGGTCTAATTTTGTATTGTATATACTTATAATTAATTACGCTTATGATAACAGACAGCTTGGACTTTTGAAACTAAAAGAAGCAAAATAAATTTAAAAAATATGGGACCTTTACTCAATACGAATGAATATGAAACATGACTTGTGCCAAAAATTTTGCGTGCACGCCACATTCTCTTAACGCTAAATTCGAATAATTTTTTTCATCAAATGCAGCTGAGTTTGTTGCATCGCAAGACTGCAGCCGGGTCATGACTTAATCGTAATAGATTTCAAATAAATCTATTTCGAAATTTGGCGATATTTATGACGGCCTATCCTTTTTATTTCCTTTGTTTTCTTTACGTATATTGATTATTATATAATACGCCTACCTATTGTGCTTTGTCTGCCTTAAGCCGAATATTCGAATATTGTGACTGTTGAAAAATCCCTTTCTGATACAACTTTAAAAATTGCAATTTCAACCAGATTTACAAACAGATATGTAAGTATCTAGTAAATTTCTCTGTCTCCAATAAGACTATATATATATATATTTCTAATTTTCTTTAAATTTAATACATGTTTTCCAAAATTATCAATGACTGAACACAAATTTGCTCAATTAGGTACAGGAAAAAAATTGAACTGAGATTGTCGTATTGCAGACTCTCTTATGGGCTAATTGTTATATCAAAAACAGTAACACATTGAAAACACAAATCCATGACTTAAAAGAAATAGCAAATTTTCACGTGAAACTAAAATTGCAGCCTCAGATTGAAGTTAACAATTGGTTTGTTTCAAAGCGTTGTTGACTAATGGAAAAAGTGCTCGGAATTATTATAAACTACCAATGATGTAAGAGCAATAATTACACGGCGCGTAATATGTGGACGTATTCTGAGCGTGATAAAAACAATGCTGGTGTCGAAATCTGTTGTATGTTGAAAGTCTATGATTATTGTCGTCAAAATTTAGAAGTGGATCAATATTTGTTTATTTACCCATTTTGGAATTTTTATAGGTTTTAGTGTGTTTAGTTGTTTGTAATCAATTTTTTTTTATCTAGTAGTATCTAGATAAAAACCTAGAGGAGATTCCGCCGCCACGCAAAACATAGGTAGGTACCTACTTATATAAAAAATGTCTGTTTAGTTGCATGGGTTAATAAATTAATAGATAGCGGCAAAATATGGTATTTATCTTGGAGCAACGTTTCGCCGAAGTTTAAGCCATCGATATAGATAAATGTTGATACGTTTTAGCGATTCCAGGTAGAGCAATTAATCGAAATAATTTTCCACTCTTAGCGGGCTATTAAGAACCAGTTTGACATTTGTTGTAATTTTTTTATCATTAATAAATAGCAAAAACTATATCTATATCTACATACTTTACTTGGCGTATTTCGTCTTTTATAATTAATTAATTAAACTTATTGCTCTTTTAAGATTTGGGCGAAGTTTTATGTACAATCATAGGTACCTACAGGACGAAAAGTTATAGATAGTGGTTGCGATTAGGGATGAGGCGAAATACTTGTCACAGGTAATTTGGAACACATATCGATATGGAACAGTCGGTACCTGTGACCGATATTTACAATAACATGTGATTTAAAATAACAGGGCTCGCCTACGATGCTGGTCAATACCAGTACAACATCTGGGATTTCGATATTTAAACAAAGCAAAAAGGCAAATACCTGCCTTTGAGCCTTTTGATTCCTCACGACGTTGTCAATTGGCCTGAGTTTTAGTGAAAGGAGATATTTTATTCTCATGAAGTGCTAAGGTTTTGTATATATGGGAGTGGGACCTGATGGTTTTCGAATCCATGCACCCATGTTTCGGCAAATAGCAATATTTAATGAACATAAAATATGGGGAACAGCAGTAACAGCCGTCTCCGATATTTTCTTTAATGTGACCTGGCCTGTGAGTCACAGGTTGTGGCTGACTACCTGTTTTTTCGGAATTCTGAGCTGTTTCTTGTTCTTGAAACTTGATCTTTTTCGACCAATAGCAGTGCTTCTGAAATAAAATAGCATTTGTTGCGTCTGCCCAGTGGAGTAGTGGACCAACTATATTCAAATTTGTATAGGCGCTATTTACCTAGTCTGGACATGCTTCAATATCTGTTTATATCAAACATAGCTGAAGTATTAAATGGCCAATTTTCGATTAAGTGATAAGATGAATTGTAATCAGTGATTGGCATGAAAATAGAAGATTTTTCACATTTTACTGCCCTTAAGTAGGAAAGATAAAAAATGTGGTCACCTTTTTTTGTGTTCAAATAAAGTTTCGATAAAATGGTAAAACGCTACTCATAAAAAATGTTATGACTTTTTTTTGAACATCAGCCCTTGCATACATAAAGGAACAAAAGGCATTCGGTCTTTGGTCATAATTTATTGCTGAGCCAGCAGATTCGCACCCATATTACTAGGAAGTGGCGTGGATATCCTTCAATGGAGTGCAGTCGGATTAGATTAGATTTTTTCCGGGCACTAAATAGATGAAAGTAAAAATTTTTATAATTAAATTTGGTTATGGCACTATAACTTTTTTGGAAGGTGTCTGTATACTTTATAAGTGGTATAAATTTTAGCTCCAAATATTCGTAACTTTCTGTTCATTCCTATTTGTTATGTAAAAAGGACTCTTGCCAGATTCTAAATACATTTTTCTTAAGACGTCGGAGAAACTTTTCTGAGGCTGTATTTTACTGGTAAAGAGTTATAATACAACGTACAGTAAATGAAAATTTCATTACTGACTGACCAAACAAAGTTATGGTACCATTTTCTTGAAACAAAACTAAATTAATTATTGAAAATTAACAAAACGTTGAAATCGACGGTTTTTTTTTAATTTTTAAGTAAACTAATGAACGGATTTTAATGTAGTTTATCTGATATCATAGGTATTTTTAATACTTGAAAAAAAGGATAAAACTTTTTTTCAATAGCATCAACAGTTCAACAATTAAGCACAAAAAACGGGCTTTCGCACTGTCTTTAATTATTTATAAATAATTGTTTATAAACAATGTTCCACAGCCGGAAATCGAGCATAAACTATAGTCTCAATATTCTGACATCCTTCCGAACAACTTTCAATAATCTTTTACCATCATATTTTCAGTGTCCGAAACAGGCCTTTTAAAGTCTAATCCGACTGGACTCAAAATACGCTTCAGCCCGGTTTCAGGTACAAACCAATATTTATCATGGGCCAAAATAACAGGTGCCAAAAAATCACAGATACTTGGAACAGGTACGAGGTTGGAACAGCACACATGGAACCTGTGACTGAAAAATACTGGTTTGTGTCATACCTAGTTGCGATCGATTCAGGGCAACATCAAGCAGGGGAGTATTTTAAGCAAACTATTTTCAAATACAAATCTTTTAAAATTCCGTAAGTAAATGATTTTTGACTTACCTACGCCAACTAAATCTTTGACAGGTAAGCGAACAAAAATGGAAAATAATAAAGAAAATAAAAAATAAATAAAAGTAAAGACTTTTTCAGAAGGAGAGGACTGTCAAAGAAAGGCCAAATTGGAAATTTTCTTCACATTTTTCAAATGCGATCAACTATCTACAATTTAAAACAATTTTCCAAATTTAATTTTTATTGTCATTTACTAACGTATTTGTTATTAAGAACTTCTACTTTAATTCATATATATATATATATTTAAAGTTAGTTCTTCTTGGTATCCGGCAGTGCACTGGCTAGTTTGTGTATTCCTGAACATAAGCCATGTAATTTCTAGGAATACAACTTAGTCAGATCAACAGGACTTAATGAATCGGGACGATTTATAAAAGTTAAATTTACTAAAACCCCATTACAACTAGGGTCTGAAAATGGCCAAATACCAAGAGTCCTTTTTATGAGCTGCAATACAGCCACCTTTATTTGAAGCCATAATTTGCCATTTCGTCAACAAAAAAACCTGAGAAATATCACACTAACTCAAAACATCTGCCACTTTTCTACCAATCATCGCGTTGGGTGGGTGGGGACTTAGGCGGGACCTTCCCTTTCCCTTTTTAATTTACCAGCCAGAGAACGAATCGCATGGCAAAGTGGTCCCCTTCTTTCTGACCGTGAAGATAGGCAATCCTACCAGGAGGTTTTGTCTACTGGCTTTGAAAGTGTTCGATTTCGACTATCGCTCGCTATTTCTGAGCTCCTGGTCGGTGATGTCGGAAACATTACCGATGTTATTCAACTGTTTGTTGCTAGGCCATACGTCAGCAACCTCTGAAGTCACGTGAGCGAGTATTGGCCTCGTTCTCCTCGGTTTTCGTAATTAATTGGTAACCCTGAACGACGACGCTCTGTGTCTGTGTATGCGAGTGCTTTGTACTTATTGCTTTTACCAGTGGCGTTCGACTATTTTTAGTTTCATGAAAATACTTCTTGAYATTATCTASGTTGTTCTAATAGATGTCGCTCTCTCCCTCCGAATTTTTAGTTTTTTATTTTTTTGCCTGAAAGAACACTTCAAATTAAGCACTTACAGCGAACAAAATTCCTGGGTGGTCGTCCATAAATTAAGCCAAAACACACTTACAAGCTTTTGAAATTCGCTTTTCCAAAACCACTTATTTATGCTCGAAAATGGTTGAGGATCTTTTCTAACGTCRCCAATTGATTGAGGTTATCTAGCCCRTYGATAGTCAGATGGCGGATTATTTGTCTCTTTCGGGAATTCAACACAATGTGGTGTGCCACGTAGTTTTGAGTTGCTTTACTTTCGGTTAATTTTAAGTTCGTTTGTTTGTGCACAGCATGGTTAAAGTGATTTAAATGAAACTGTCAGTGTTGTGTCAGTTCATGTCAGTTTTAAAAAGTAAAAAGTCA